GTCTTATTTCCGACCAGGACAATTTTAGGGGTCTACAGTTATGAGTAAAATTCGAATCCAGAACGAGACCGTTCCACTTTGGGAATGGGATGTTCCAGATTCACATTTTACCCATAACAAAATTGCCCAGAACAGGCCGTTACGAATCTGGAATAGACCATTCTGGTCAATTCTGACATCTATAAATAGGTGCGTCAGATACTGCTCTTGGGGGCCAGAAAATTCATCCAGAACTCCTTATAGCTCGAAATTTCTCTCCCTCTCTTTGTTTGTATTTCTTGAGATCTGTGAGATATTTGTGTAGTGTGAAATGTTGCCACAAAACACCTAAAATCTCCATAGTTGAAGATCTAATAAAGTTTTCCACGAGTTATCAGGAGTTAGGAAGTTACTTAAGGCTACCAAAAGCATTTCACACTTCTGACTTCATTTTCCTTTCTACGCTCTCTAAAGACCAAGGAGAACCAAGAGAAAGAGACCAACTAAATTCTGCTCTAACTTCATCTTCTGCTTATCAAGGTAAGGGAGGAGTGAAAAACCTCGTTTGGGGGTGTGGGAATAATTGTTGGGTAGCAGGATTGGCCCTCAATCCCTAGCCTGATAGGAACAGACAAATTTTGAATGTTTTCTGTTTTATCTTTCTGAGTTTTCTGTTGTGTTTCCTGATGATTACTGAGTATGAATGTATATTTAATTTTGAGTTTGAATATGTTCTGATATGAATTAGAGTGCTCAATGGAGATTATGTGAATATGATGAGAGAATGTGAAAAGTGAATATGAGATATGAAATATGATGATATGTGACAATGAGACATGATATATGAGTAACTATGATAAATGAAATGATGAGTCCATGAGTTTGTGAATGTGTGACTTGCATCATATGCATTTATGTGACGGGGTACAATATGGAGTACATTGTTAGGGAAGGCCCTCCAAGTGTGAAACATCTTAGAGGAGTCCTAGGGGATATTGCAGTTTGGAAGGCCCACTTTTGCCCGTTTATGTACATGGGACGTATCTTGCACGACTTCACTATCCCAACGAGACCCTAGCAGTACATCCTTCTTGTTGAGAGTGCATAGTTGAGCCAGCATGTACTCCTAGAGTACTCTAGGTATGTTGCTTTAGCAGCATACCACGTGATATGTGATTATGAGACAGTGCCACATGCATGCATTTATGAGTCGAGTCCATGACATCATTGCATGATAAATGAGCGTGCATGTGGTACTAAATGTGTATGTGTTTGTGAACCCTAAACCCTAAACCCTCTACCCCAACATACATATACAATAATTATGAAAACATATTCTTAGAGTAAATAAATCTTTTGAAATAAAACCATGGTTCCATTAACATGAGAGTATAGAATTCACATTCCTAAACATAATCATAATTTACTTGCATAAATTACAGAAGAAATAAAGTTAAAGGTTTTTACAAAACAAAAGAAAGAAACTGAATCTCCGAAGGAAGGAAGAGTTAAAGAGCTCTAAAGTCTTTTTTACTAGTTTATCTCTCTAAGGTTCTCAAGAATTAAACTTATGAAACTCAAGTCTTAAAAAACTTATATATCTTCTCTTCAGGATCAAACTGAACCTTTATCTAGAAAAATTTTCTAAATCACATACTCACAAAAATTTCTTAATTCTCAAACTTTCTTAACAATAGACCTCAAATCACTGTAACTTATAATTATTGATAAAAATCACAATATTGAGATGTTCCGCTGTGAGGTTCAAACTTGACCTCGAATGGATTATACCGAGGTTCAAACTCGACCTTGAATTGATTATGCCTAGGTTCGAACTCGACCTTGAGTGGATTATGCCAAGGTTCGAACTCGACCTTGAGTTGTTTATTCCAAGGTTCGAACTCGACCTTGAGTTGTTTATTCCAAGGTTCGAACTCGACCTTGAGTTGTTTATTCCAAGGTTCGAACTCGACCTTGAGTTGTTTATACCAAGGTTCGAATTCGACCTTAAGTTGTTTATACCAAGGTTCTAATTCGGCCTTGAGTTGTTTATACCAAGGTTCGGATTCGACCTTGGATTTGAGCGAAACGTATTCAGGGTTCGTACTCGACCTTGATTAATAGCGAGATAAGTCGGACCAAGGTTCGAATTCGACCTTGGCGTAAAGTAAAATATGTTGTGTTAAGGCTCGAACTCGACCTTAACTAGGGGCAAGATAAGTCGAGCCAAGGTTCGGATTCGACCTCGGCGCAAAGTAAGATAAGTTGTGCCAAGGTTCGAACTCGACCTCGGCCTAGCATGAAATGTTTTATGGTATAATGACTTAAAGCTAGGAGAATATGAATGAAAAGAATAAGTTATTTTATTAATTGCGTAAATGTGCCTCGTTAAAAACCCTCTCAGCCATAACCCATTTTTCTTTTTTTTTGAGATAAAAGACTGAGGCGGGAAAAGAGTGCACAACTCATTCATACAAAGTTAACTGAAGTAAAACTTGAGATGCGTGGCATTCCAAGTTCACAGTATGGGCTTTCCGCTGAGTTCTTCTAATCAGTATGCTCCGTTCTCCAAGTTCTCTATAACTCGGAATGGGCCACCCCAGGTGGGTGCGAGTTTTCCATCTGACGTGTCTTTCCGTGCTTCGCCTAATAATCGCCACACCAGGTCGCCAACTCAGAAAGAGCGAGGTCGCACTCGCGTATTGTATCTTTTGGAAGCTCGGAGCTTGCAGGCCTCTTCGTGGATTTGAGCTTCGTCTCTAAGTTCATCGACTAGGTCGAGGTCAGCTGCTAACTCTTGAGCGTTCTGCTCACTGTTGAAGACTCGGCGTCGGTGAGATGTCTCTCCGATTTCCACTGGAATCATTGCGTCAGCTCCGTAAGTCAGCCTGTAAGACGTTTCTTGCGTCGTTGATTGGGGGGTGCAATGATACACCCAGAGGATGATGGGAAGCTCGTCGGCCCATTGTCCTTTAGCGTTCCCTAGTCGCTTCTTAAGTTTTCGGAGGACGACCTTGTTGGCGACTTCGGCCTGGCCATTGGTCTGGGGGTGTTCCACCGAGGTTGGGAGATGCTTGATACCGAGCTCACGGAGGAAGTCCTTGAAGCCTTGCGCGATGAACTGCCTGCCGTTGTCGGTGACGAGGGTGTGAGGGATTCCGAATCTGCAAACAATATTCCTCCAGGTGAATCTTTGTACATTTTTGGTGGTGATTTTGGCAAGTGGGCATGCTTCGATCCACTTGGTGAAGTAGTCGATCGCCACTAGGAGGAACTTGAGTTGACCTTTCGCAGGGAGGAATGGCCCGAGGATGTCCATTCCCCACTGGGAAAAAGGCCATGACGACATCATCTGGTGAAGAGTTTCGGGTGGCTACCGATGTGAGTTGTCGAACTGCTGGCATTCTTTGCATTTTTGCACGTAGTCCTGGCAATCTAACTTCAAAGTAAGCCAGTAGTATCCTGCTCGGAGTACTCTGGTCGCCATTGAGCGCGCCCCAGAATGCATGCCACATATGCCTCGATGGATCTCCTCGATGACATAGGCTGCCTGAGGTGCGGTTAAGCACTTGAGCAGTGGGGTGGAGATGCCACGCTTGAACAGTTCGTCACCGATAATCACGAACTTTGCCAACCTCATCCTCATCTTTCAAGCTTCGTCCCTATCCACGGGCAAAACTCCTGCCTTCAAGTAGCTCCAGGTGCCTATCATTCATCCCTGGTCTTCGTTGTCGCTAGTGTTGACGACCTTATCGTCTAGGGTGGGTGAATGCAAGGTCTCCTGGATGATGGTTCGATATTGGCCAGGGCGTTTGGTGCTGGCGAGCTTTGATAGGAGGTCGGCTCTAGTGTTTTGTTCTCGCGGTACATGTTGTATAGTGAACTCGTCGAAGAACGAGATCTGTTATGATGCCATGTGGAAATACCGTTGTAGGAGAACGTCCTTGGCCTGGTATGTTCCGCTGAGCTGCACTACCATGAGTTTCGAGTCGCTGTTGCAGCTCACTCTCTAAGCCCCAAGGTCATGAGCCAACCTTAGCCCTGCGAGAAGTGCCTCATACTCTGCCTGGTTGTTGGTCACCTTGAAGCTGAACTTGAGGGATTGCTCCAAGGTGACTTGGTTCGGTCCTTCCAAGATGATACCTGCACCATCACCTTTAGAGTTGGAGGACCCATCAACGTGTAAAGTCCATACCTGTGGCTCCTCGGCTGAGGTAGGCGTGAGTTCGGCTACGAAGTCGGCTAGGCATTGAGCTTTCAGGGTGCCGTGACTTTCGTACTGGATGCCGAACTCAAAAAATTCTACCGACCATGCTATCATCCGCCCGACGAGCTCTAGCTTCCTCAATATCTGCTTGATTGGGTAGTCGATCTTGACGACCACTTGGTGACTCTAGAAGTATGGTCGGAGACGCCTGGCTGCCGTGACAAGTGCCAATGCGAGCTTTTCGATGGTCTGGTACCTTTTCTCTGTGTCTTGGAGGACTCTGCTGATAAAATAGATCGATGTCTATGTTTTCTGGTGCTCTTGCACTATCACCGTGTTGATTGCGCTTTCTACCACCGCCAGGTAGAGGAGAAGGTTGGCTTTGTGATCCGGCCTCTGAAGGATTGGCGGAGTAGTGAGGAAGGTTTTGAAGCTTTTGAAAGCCTCCTCGCATTGGTCCGTCCACTCGAAGTTCTTTGGCTTGCGCAGTAGGGTGAAGATGGGCCCTGCCTTGTCCGCCAACCTGGGGATGAAACAAGAAAGGGAGACCAACCTTCCTGCTAGGGGTGAAAGCCTCTCCACATCGGCCGTTACGACGGCACGACAGACCCGGACGAGCACATTGACCTCTACACTACACAGGTAAAACTTTACACTAACGAGGATGCTATTCTATGTAGGGCCTTTCCGACCTCGCTCAAAGGAGCCGCACTCAACTGGTACACTCAGCTACTCGCCGAATCCATTGACAACTTCGGCACTCTGGTTAGACGATTCACAGTGCAGTATGCAACGAGTCGACCTCACCACGTGACGTCGGCTGCTCTGGCCAGCCTCAGACAGGGATACGATGAACCACTACGGACGTTCATGGAGCGCTTTGCCGGCATCTCGGTGAAGATTCAGAACCTGAATCCCAAAGTCACTTTACACGCCATGCTCATGGCACTCAAGTCGGGACCGTTCGTCGACAGTCTGTGCCGAGAAGCCCCTCGTGACATGGATGAGCTCCGTGCCCGTGCTGCGGGCTACATCCAGATGGAGGAGCACTCCGCTTTTCGTGACTAGGTTCGCAGCAAGTCACTGATGAAGCCAGAACAGGGCCACAAGGACAAGATCAAGGTCAACAATGACAGGCAGGTCAAGAAGTCATCTAGGGCAAACAAAGGGGGGAGATACGACTTCTATACTCCCCTGAACACGCCCCGAGTACATATCCTAGAGGAGGCCAGTAATAGCAACCTGCTCACCCTACCACCACCAGGTCACATCCCCAACAGTGCCGACAAATCCAAGCACTGCCAGTACCACAGAAATCACGGTCACACTACCGAAAAGTGCCGTACACTCTGAGATCGTATCGAAGAACTCATCCAGGCAGGCCACCTCGGCCAATACGTCCAGCGATAGCAAGGTCATAGAGGAGGCTATGGTGGACGAGGACGAGGTAGAGGTCGTGGTTCGGGACCTCGCACGGACCAACCCTCTAGCTCTCAACAAAATGCCGGTGGAGCAGTGCAAGCCGAGGTAAGCCAGGAAACAGGATCAGCTCCTCTACGAGGAGTAATCAACACCATTGCAGGTGGCTTTGCAGGGGGAGGCTCCAGCAGCTCGGCCCGGAAAAGACACCTGTGCAGTATCAACGGCGTTCACTCCACCACCTCGGCCTCAAGTTAGACATCCCTCACTCCCTTATCCAGCCTCACACAGAGCCACTAGTTGGATTTGCATGAAAGCGAGTTCACACTCGAGGGTACGTGGATCTACTGACGACCTTCGGAACCTCCCCAGATACAAGGAGAATTATGGTCGATACCTCCTCGTGGAAGCCAACACCTCCTATAATATCATCATTGGGAGGCCGACGTTAAATCAACTTGGAGCAATGGTGTCCACCCCGCACCTCACCATGAAGTTCCCAGGAAGTGACGGTAAGATCATCTCCGTAAAGGCAAATCAGAAGACAGCTCGGCAGTGCTACACTGAAAGCCTGAAGGTCTCCTCGCCCGACAAACGCCGCCGAAGCAATCCTCCCACAGTGGCTCACATCGCCCACGTGGATATCACCGACCTCGATCCGAGGTCAGACTCCCATGATGAACAACCAAGTCCCATCGACGAGCTTGATGACCTCCAGATCGAGAGTTTTCCTGGGCAGTGCACGAAAATCAGCAAGCAGTTGAACCCGGAATTACGGTAACAGCTCGAAGTTGAGATCGTCAAGAACGCCGATCTCTTTGCATGGTCTGGTGCTGACATGCCAGGCATAGACGCCGACTTCATCTGCCACAGGTTAGCAATTCATAAGGAGGCGAAACCAGTGGCCCAGAGGAAAAGGAAAGTCGGTGGCGAGAGGCGGGAAGCCATCATCACCGAGACACAGAAATTACTGAATGCCAGCTTCATCCGTGAAGTCAAATACACAACATGGCTGGCAAATGTGGTTCTGGTGAAGAAGAGCTCGGGGAAGTGGCGCATGTAAGTCGACTACACCGACCTAAACAAAGCATGCCCCAAGGACTCGTATCCTTTGCCGAGTATCGACAGATTGGTTGACGGAGCATCCGGGCACGCCCTTCTCAGTTTCCTCGATGCTTATTCTGGGTACAACCAGATCCTGATGTACCCACCAGATGAGGTGCATACGTCGTTCATCACCGACCACGCCAATTACTGCTACAGGGTGATGCCCTTCAGCCTAAAAAATGTAGGAGCCACCTACCAGCGGCTAATGGACAAGGTTTTCCACCAGCAGATCGGCCGCAACATGGAGGTCTACGTCGACGACATGGTGGTCAAAACCACCTCAGCCGGAGCTCATGCAGCCAACCTCGCCAAGGTGTTTGGCCAGATCAGGAGACACAACATGCGTCTCAACCCAGAGAAATGCGTCTTCGGTGTCCAGGGAGGTAAGTTCTTGGGTTTCATGATCACTAGTAGGGGGATTGAGGCCAACCCGGAAAAATGCAAAGCCATCATCCAAATGCAGAGTCCTAGACCGTGAAAGACGTCCAGCATCTAGCAGGAAGGTTGGTCTCCCTTTCTTGTTTCATCCCCAGGTTGGCGGACAAGGCAGGGCCCATCTTCACCCTACTGCGCAAGCCAAAGAACTTCGAGTGGACGGACCAATGCGAGGAGGCTTTCAAAAGCTTCAAAACCTTCCTCACTACTCCGCCAATCCTTCAGAGGCCGGATCACAAAGCCAACCTTCTCCTCTACCTGGCGGTGGTAGAAAGCGCAATCAACACGGTGATAGTGCAAGAGCACCAGAAAACATAGACATCGATCTATTTTATCAGCAGAGTCCTCCAAGACACAGAGAAAAGGTACCAGACCATCGAAAAGCTCGCATTGGCACTTGTCACGGCAGCCAGGCGTCTCCGACCATACTTCTAGAGTCACCAAGTGGTCGTCAAGATCGACTACCCAATCAAGCAGATATTGAGGAAGCTAGAGCTCGTCGGGCGGATGATAGCATGGTCGGTAGAATTTTTTGAGTTCGGCATCCAGTACGAAAGTCACGGCACCCTGAAAGCTCAATGCCTAGCCGACTTCGTAGCCGAACTCACGCCTACCTCAGCCGAGGAGCCACAGGTATGGACTTTACACGTTGATGGGTCCTCCAACTCTAAAGGTGATGGTGCAGGTATCATCTTGGAAGGACCGAACCAAGTCACCTTGGAGCAATCCCTCAAGTTCAGCTTCAAGGTGACCAACAACCAGGCAGAGTATGAGGCACTTCTCGCAGGGCTAAGGTTGGCTCATGACCTTGGGGCTTAGAGAGTGAGCTGCAACAGCGACTCGAAACTCATGGTAGTGCAGCTCAGCGGAACATACCAGGCCAAGGACGTTCTCCTACAACGGTATTTCCACATGGCATCATAACAGATCTCGTTCTTCGACGAGTTCACTATACAACATGTACCGCGAGAACAAAACACTAGAGCCGACCTCCTATCAAAGCTCGCCAGCACCAAACGCCCTGGCCAATATCGAACCATCATCCAGGAGACCTTGCATTCACCCACCCTAGACGATAAGGTCGTCAACACTAGCGACAACGAAGACCAGGGATGAATGATAGGCACCTGGAGCTACTTGAAGGCAGGAGTTTTGCCCGTGGATAGGGACGAAGCTTGAAAGATGAGGATGAGGTTGGCAAAGTTCGTGATTATCGGTGACGAACTGTTCAAGCGTGGCATCTCCACCCCACTGCTCAAGTGCTTAACCGCACCTCAGGCAGCCTATGTCATCGAGGAGATCCATCGAGGCATATGTGGCATGCATTCTGGGGCGCGCTCAATGGCGACCAGAGTACTCCGAGCAGGATACTACTGGCTTACTTTGAAGTTAGATTGCCAGGACTACGTGCAAAAATGCAAAGAATGCCAGCAGTTCGACAACTCACATCGGTAGCCACCCGAAACTCTTCACCAGATGATGTCGTCATGGCCTTTTTCCCAGTGGGGAATGGACATCCTCGGGCCATTCCTCCCTGCGAAAGGTCAACTCAAGTTCCTCCTAGTGGCGATCGACTACTTCACCAAGTGGATCGAAGCATGCCCACTTGCCAAAATCACCACCAAAAATGTACAAAGATTCACCTGGAGGAATATTGTTTGCAGATTCGGAATCCCTCACACCCTCGTCACCGACAACGGCAGGCAGTTCATCGCGCAAGGCTTCAAGGACTTCCTCCGTGAGCTCGGTATCAAGCATCTCCCAACCTCGGTGGAACACCCCCAGACCAATGGCCAGGCCGAAGTCGCCAACAAGGTCGTCCTCCGAAAACTTAAGAAGCGACTAGGGAACGCTAAAGGACAATGGGCCGACGAGCTTCCCATCATCCTCTGGGTGTATCATTGCACCCCCCAATCAACGACGCAAGAAACGTCTTACAGGCTGACTTACGGAGCTGACGCAATGATTCCAGTGGAAATCGGAGAGACATCTCACCGACGCCGAGTCTTCAACAGTGAGCAGAACGCTCAAGAGTTAGCAGCTGACCTCGACCTAGTCGATGAACTTAGAGACGAAGCTCAAATCCACGAAGAGGCCTGCAAGCTCCGAGCTTCCAAAAGATACAATACGCGAGTGCGACCTCGCTCTTTCTGAGTTGGCGACCTGGTGTGGCGATTATTAGGCGAAGCACGGAAAGACACGTCAGATGGAAAACTCGCACCCACCTGGGGTGGCCCATTCCGAGTTATAGAGAACTTGGAGAACGGAGCATACTGATTAGAAGAACTCAGCGGAAAGCCCATACTGTGAACTTGGAATGCCACGCATCTCAAGTTTTACTTCAGTTAACTTTGTATGAATGAGTTGTGCACTCTTTTCCCGCCTCAGTCTTTTATCTCAAAAAAAAAGAAAAATGGGTTATGGCTGAGAGGGTTTTTAACGAGGCACATTTACGCAATTAATAAAATAACTTATTCTTTTCATTCATATTCTCCTAGCTTTAAGTCATTATACCATAAAACATTTCATGCTAGGCCGAGGTCGAGTTCGAACCTTGGCACAACTTATCTTACTTTGCGCCGAGGTCGAATCCGAACCTTGGCTCGACTTATCTTGCCCCTAGTTAAGGTCGAGTTCGAGCCTTAACACAACATATTTTACTTTACGCCAAGGTCGAATTCGAACCTTGGTCCGACTTATCTCGCTATTAATCAAGGTCGAGTACGAACCCTGAATACGTTTCGCTCAAATCCAAGGTCGAATCCGAACCTTGGTATAAACAACTCAAGGCCGAATTAGAACCTTGGTATAAACAACTTAAGGTCGAATTCGAACCTTGGTATAAACAACTCAAGGTCGAGTTCGAACCTTGGAATAAACAACTCAAGGTCGAGTTCGAACCTTGGAATAAACAACTCAAGGTCGAGTTCGAACCTTGGAATAAACAACTCAAGGTCGAGTTCGAACCTTGGAATAAACAACTCAAGGTCGAGTTCGAACCTTGGAATAAACAACTCAAGGTCGAGTTCGAACCTTGGCATAATCCACTCAAGGTCGAGTTCGAACCTAGGCATAATCAATTCAAGGTCGAGTTTGAACCTCGGTAT